AGGGTACTACCATTCGGCATATCCATCGCCCCATGGTTATTCACCAGGATCACCAATCCCGTCATTGGTTTCGCCCATCTAAAGCTCATAAGGCTTCATGGATATATAGACGATTTCCTATCGGTCGATCAGGACAAATCACAACTCAGTCTAAACACAGTGTGTCTCATCCAACTTCTCACAAACTTAGGTTTCGTGGTTCACTCTCAAAAATCAGAGCTAGTACCCACACAGGTCATCACCTACATAGGCGCAAGATTTATTCTCGACAAGGGCATCGTAGCACCCCCAGAGGACAGATATGCAAGAGTACAGAGCATGATTACAAGCGCACTCGATCAGCCCGTCAAGTCGAGACGCTGGTGGATGTCTTGCCTAGGCACGCTCACATCTATCCAAGACCTAACCTACAGAGGCAGGCTACAATTACGGCCCTTGCAGATTTGGATGAACACCACCAAGAACCTAGAGCTGGAAGCACTAATCCAACCCCCACAAGTTCGAATCTCAGAACTCCTTTGGTGGCTAAATCGTCAAAATGTCATGCCAGGTATTCCACTAAACTACCCCAACCCCCTACATCAACTCTACACAGATGCATCAGGAGTGGCTAGCTCATGGAGACCAGCCTCATCTGCCTTATACAATAACAGATGGGACAAGTTCGTCGAATGGAGAAGAGGAAAACAGTTACATGGAGATATAACGATACCTATAGTAGCCGAATTCTTGATCCATCTCAGAAACGACAAGAAATTAAGACACGGCACTATCAAAGGATATAGATCAGCTCTGTCATCAGTATTACAACACGATGGCCTATCTATAGGTACCCATCCAGTACTAAATCGACTTATGAAGTCTTTTGCCCTGGAAGATATAAAAGTACCACGTACCTTCCCTAAATGGGATCTATCTATAGTATTGTCAGCATTGATGAAAGCACCATATGAGCCGATGAGTAGTGCGACATTACTATCAGTCTCCAAGAAAACTGCTTTTCTCCTAGCCATGGCTACGGCGGCTCGCGTGTCAGAACTACACGCTTTTGACATCTCCACTGTAACTCATACCCAAGAATGGAAAGCAGTGTCGTTCAGATCGCTCCCTGAATTTATTGCCAAAAACCAGTCGTCAACCTTTGGCCCAATCGGACACAGGCAATACACAATACCAGCCCTAAGTAAAAGTGTGGACTTCCCGGACAGATTGCTTTGCCCCATAAGAGCCTTGAGATATTTTATTACAGCAACTCAACCCCACAGAAAGCAGAGAAAACGTCTATTTATCTCTTGCAAGCCCTCGTCAGAAAAGGACATCACAAAGGGCACTGTAGCGGGATGGCTAAAATCAGTTATCACAGATAGCTATAAAACGGCACAAATCTCCACTCCGATTTGGGGTAGCTGCAGACCTCACGAAATCAGAGCACTGGCAACAAGCCTAGCCACATGGAATACTGCATCCATCGAACAAATCGTGGCCAGCTGCCAGTGGAAGTCCCGCAACACTTTTTCAAACTTTTACTTACGAGACATACAGACCGATCTAAATGGACTATACACTCTGGGGCCCTTGGTGGCTGCCCAGGTGATTGTCACCAAGTAACCTGTTCCCTCCCTCTTCCAGGAAGGGAAAAAAGATGGGGGGGGGGGGGGGGGGGGGGTGAAGATTTCAGAAGTACCTCATGAACTCAGGGTAAGTTGTATTTTGTTACTGGATTGCGCTATTGAGTTAGTAAAACAGGGCAAATGACAACACTGAAATCAGAGATCGAAGGATTAAGTGATATACGGTAATCTACATGATAGGAACGTCAATGTACTACCACCGGAAGTGAAGTCATAGGAGTCATCACACCGGAAAAACATTAAGATACGTTAAATATCACTAGCCAAAAGGGCATAACGGTAAACTACGTCATAAGTGATACAAGTGAATAGTGACACCAGAAGTGACGTCACAGATGACGTCATCACAGGAAGTGACGTCACTAAATGTCTAAGTATCACAAGGGAATATACATATACCCTTCACATGACGTCTTGAAAATTCTGTACATCTAAGTCTTGTAAGTAGACTATTAGACACATCCGTTTTAAGACCCCTTTTGGCATATAATCCTTGGTTTTACTACTCCATTAGCCAAATATCTATGGGATGCTAGATACCAGAACCCGCCGGTCCCTCTGGTGTATACTGGCACTGATGTGATAGAGGTGAGGTATTCACAAGAATTATCAAACAATAGTTATCATTGTGAATAATTCTAAGAATACCACCTCTATCAAATCAGGAATTAATCCCTCCCACCTCCCCAAATATCTGCATCTAGTTGATGAGAGTAATGGGTTGAAAGAAGTGACTAGATTACCGCCTTGCGCATGCGCAGTGGCGCCTCTGGCAAGGGATAGGGTTTCCCTCACAACTATGGTTATGTTGGCAGTGTAGTGGACGTCTGTTGAAAATTTATAAAAATTTATAGTGTGGTTCTCAGCATAAACAGGAATTTATGGCACTGATGTGATAGAGGTGATATTCTTAGAATTATTCACAATGATAACTATTGTTTGATATTTTGGCATTGAACATCGTGCCCGAGCTGAGAATTTGAGGCGCCGAAAGCCGAGATGTCATTTGACTAACATTACACGCGATCGCATGAAAAGATGGAAATAATAACTTAGCTGTAAGTTTGACCGCTTTTAGATATATTTTTATTGATTTTATTTATCACTTTGTATAACATATTTAAAGATTTGCTTGAAACGTCTTTGTTTTGCTCTTTGACATGTTCGATGTGGACCCGTTGTCGAAGTGTGTGTCCAAAATTATATTTTCAATGACATTGCGGGAAATAGTGAATAACTTTTTAATCTATCGATAAAAAATTATGAATTGAAATAGAATACGTATTTCAGACATTGTGAAATGTGATAGATTTAATAAATGAATGGTATGACAGGTAAATTCTTAAAACTATATACTATTTTGACGTGACTAAGGCTTGGCTGGTTAACCAGCCTACGGACCCTAGGGACTTAATGCTTCTTGGCTGGTTTACACACATATCTGTGATAAAAGTTTATTTACGTCTTTGAAAAACGTATCGTGAAAAATCGAGATACAGCACCTCACAAATCGCACACCATATCGTATGGAGTGAATCGCGATGCATCGGTGTCCCGGGATATCGTTTCAGCCCTAGTGATGGTGTGATGACTGTTTGGCACGTCTGATGTGAGTGTGATGACTGTTTGGCATGTTTGATGTAGATGTTTGTGTGATGACTGTTTGGCACGTTTGATGTAGGTGTTTGTGTGATGACTGTTCGGCACGTTTGATGTAGGTGTTTGTGTGATGACTGTTTGGCACGTTTGATGTGAGTGTGATGACTGTTTGGCACGTTTGATGTAGGTGTTTGTGTGATGACTGTTTGGCACGTTTGATGTGAGTGTGATGACTGTTTGGCACGTTTGATGTAGGTGTTTGTGTGATGACTGTTTGGCACGTTTGATGTAGGTGTTTGTGTGATGACTGTTTGGCACGTTTGATGTGAGTGTGATGACTGTTTGGCACGTTTGATGTAGGCGTTTGTGTGATGACTGTTGGGCACGTTTGATGTGAGTGTGATGACTCTTTGGCACGTTTGATGTAGGTGTTCGTGTGATGACTGTTTGGCACGTTTGATGTGAGTGTGATGACTTTGGCAGGTTTGATGTCGGTGTTTGTGTGATGACTGTTTGGCACGTTTGATGTGAGTGTGATGACTCTTTGGCACGTTTGATGTAGGTGTTTGTGTGATGACTGTTGCAGGGCATTATATTGGTTATGGTGTCTTTAGTTGCTGTATACGGTGTCATATAAGGTAGCAGGATAATATTATTTTATATTATGTATTTTCCTGCTAACCTAATATGACACCGTATATGGCAACTAAAGACACCATAATGAATTTATTATGATGAAAAGTTTACACTCTTTGGTATCCATATCGCACGTGTCATGTCAAAATGAAAACTTGACACTAACAACCTTACGTTGCGTGAAGGGTCAAAGGGAGACTACTCTTCAAACCTTAGAGGCCAAACCTTGTTTTAACTATAATCTTTATCATTAAAGTCATGAACGTGATCTAAAAATAGATTAATGTCCGTACACATCACAATTTATGATAGTAAAAAACAAAACAGTGTCAAATAATGAATTTCTGTACCAGAATTTCCATGTGAAATATGTGAGGTGGGTGTTGGAAAATCCAAGATGGCTGTTACTGACGTTATATGGTCTCATATTAGGTCAGTATCAACCATCTTGGATTTTTACTGACGGTATACGGGCTCATGTGAGGTCAGTAGTTCTGCTCTCTGACATCTTCCCGAGGCAAGAGAGTTAACTGACTTTAAATGTTCAGTTGCCACCCTTGCCAAACTAGGCTGGTATTATGGAGTTGCATTTTGGCTGGACTAAAGAGTCTATGCATAGTCCAATCAAAATCACACAACGAAATCGAAATCTGGTTTGTAAATTGCCATGCAGATCTCGGTCGATTGCATGATTTGCAAAGCATGTGCACCGCCAACTCGTTGTCAACAGATATTTTCTAAATCGTTCCATGTTTTTAGTCAAGGTGCTCATGTGATTTGATGCCCTTCGCGATGTAAGACTCGTTTTATCAAAATATAGATCTTGATTATCAATCAGATCGTCTTGACAGGGCGCCACCATATTGTTTGAAGCAAATGCAGGTGATACGAGAGGTGGAATCTGATTGGTCCATAGAAGAGGCATAGAAGGGACATAACTCGTAATAGCCACAGGTGGGAGGGTGGAAATTGGACTTTTACAGTCAGTTAAATCCCTAGCCTCTGGGAGATGCTCTCTGATTGGTCAATTTCACTTTGAGGCATAATAATGAAAAATATGAGGCTTTCGAGGAAACGGGATAAACCTTTGTCAACTATTGATATGAGTTTGATTGATAGAATTTTATGCTTCAGGATTACCTGATAAACACTTGGGTGAAGTTTGACAGCTGTAGCCTAGATGGAGAGGAGGTACTTGCCTTGGTCTGGTTGCACAATGGAATCCAGGTAGGTTGGCTTTGGACCCATTTGTTTCACAAAAATTAGGCTTGACAAAAAAATGCAAATGTTTTATGAATTCATAGTGGTGCTGTTACAATAGTTTGCTTATTTGAGATCTGTTCTTATCAATACCTTATTTTCATTTTCATTTTCATTTCAAGTGCTTAGGCATGTTAATAAAACATCTACTGTTATGATCAACAGGCAGTTTCAAAATAGTATATAATTTAATATTGTTAGATTATGAATTTACGCAGACTTTGCATTGTATAGTGTTTTTCCACACCTTGCTGTTGGTCTGACCTTAGCCTCTGATGACAGCCTGTGTATGTTGAACTTCCTGTTGACTACATCTTCCTGCATGGTTCAGATTCCTTTCAGCCCTGACAAGCGAGACAGCGTCCTGTACAGTGACAAGTTCCCTCGCACCAAGTTTAAGCCCACGCTGTCACTGTTTGGGAGTAAGCCCATGGAGGGTTGGGTGGCTGTCACAGCTACAGGCCTGGTGAGTCAACTGCAGCGCCTACACAGTGTCATGAGCAGTTCTGTCTTTAGTGACCAACACTTGTTTCTGAGGTGTATAATAATAACAGCAGCACGAACAACAATAATATAAATAGATATAAATAAATGCACCCTATCAACCCACAAATGCGTGCTCATAGTTATATTAACATTAAAGTAACTTTTCATGGAACAGAATGGATGGGAATTAAAAAAAGCAAAACCTACAGAGTGGCAACCTGATTAATGTTTTTAGTCGCCCCCCCCCTCCCCCGGCATATAATGCGGGGTATATAGAGATCAGTCAGTCTGTCTGTCCGTCTGTCTGTCCTGTTATTATTTCCTTTTCGGGGGCAGAACCCAAAAAACATTCAGAGTATTTGATCGATACTTGGCAAATCTATGTCACATCCTGAAGTGGTGCCTTTTGCTATTTAGGAATTTAAGAAAGTTTTATTTTTTACGTTTCCATGGTAACAAGTTGGATTTAAGTTTTAATATAAGGTGGGTTCACTTATGGAATATAACAAATAAACTGTTAAATATTTCCTTGCCAAACATTGCATGTCTATATATAAGGCACATACTGAACTGGTGCCATATGATATTAAGGAGTTTTAGAAATGTTTATTTTAGAATTTCCATTGCAGCTATTTTGACATGAGCTAAGAGAATTATTGGGTCAGTTACCTGGTTTGGGACCATAACATGTTAAAATGACTTCATTGACTATACACTTGTTTAGTTATTGTTTCTTGTAATTTGTCATTTGTTTACATAAAAAACCCACAGAAACACACTTGTTTTACTTTCCATTTCATATGGATGCGACCATGGTGGATCTTTTGTGGGTAAACAATGTATGCTTCTTCAAGAACATCCAACTCTTGACTCATTACATACAGGATTGCACATTTACTAGTGGTTACTTTACAGTCAGCTGCCGGGGGGATATGTCATCTTTCTGATGACTCTTGTTGACCTAATCATAGACTTGCAAGGGGTGTAGCATTAACTTCATGATATAAGCATGGTACAGCTGTAGCATTAATTTCATCATACCATCATACCAACATGCTTCAGTATAGACTTGATGGAGTTGTGGCACTAAGACCAACATGCTTCAATATAGACTTGATAGAGCTGTAGCACTGACCATCATACCAACATGCTGGAGTATAGACTTGATAGAGCTGTAGCACTAAGACCAATATGCTTCAATATAGACTTGATAGAGCTGTAGCACTGACCATCATACCAACATGCTTCTATATAGACTTGATAAAGCTGTAGCACTAAGACCATCATACCAACAAGCTGCAGTATAGGCGTGATAAAGCTGTTTCACGAAGATCAACATGCTTCAAAATAGACTTGATAGAGCTGTAGCACTAAGACAATCATACCAACATGCTTCAACATAGACTTGATTGAGCTGTAGCACTAAGATCATCATATCAACATACTTCAATATAGACATGATAGAGCTGTAGCACTAAGACCGTCATTCCAACATGCTTCAGTATAGACTTGATAGAGCTGTAGCACTAAGACCAACATGCTGCAGTATAGACTTGACAGAGCTGTTGCACTAAGACCGTAATACCAACATGCTTCAGTATAGACTTGATAGAGCTGTAGCACTGACCATCATACCAACATGCTTCAATATAGACTGGATAGAGCTGTAGCACTAAGACCGTCATTCCAACATGCTTCAGTATAGACTTGATAGAGCTGTAGCACTAAGACCAACATGCTGCAGTATAGACTTGATAGAGCTGTAGCACTAAGACCGTAATACCAACATGCTTCAGTATAGACTTGATAGAGCTGTAGCACTGACCATCATACCAACATGCTTCAATATAGACTTGATAGAGCTGTTGCACTGACCATCATACCAACATGCTTCAATATAGACTTGATAGAGCTGTAGCACTAAGACAGTCATACCAACATGCTTCAGTATAGACTTGATAGAGCTGTAGCACTAAGACCGTAATACCAACATGCTTCAGTATAGACTGGATAGAGCTGTAGCACTGACCATGCTGCAGTATAGACTTGATAGAGCTGTAGCACTGACTATCATACCAACATGCTTCAATATAAACTTGATAGAGCTGTAGCACTAAGACCAACATGCTTCTATATAGACTTGATAGAGCTGTAGCACTAAGACCATCATACCAACAAGCTGCAGTATAGGCGTGATAGAGCTGTTTCACGAAGATCAACATGCTTCAAAATAGACTTGATAGAGCTGTAGCACTAAGACGATCATACCAACATGCTTCAACATAGACTTGATTGAGCTGTAGCACTAAGATCATCATACCAACATACTTCAATATAGACTTGATAGAGCTGTAGCACTAAGACCGTCATTCCAACATGCTTCAGTATAGACTTGATAGAGCTGTAGCACTAAGACCAACATGCTGCAGTATAGACTTGACAGAGCTGTTGCACTAAGACCGTAATACCAACATGCTTCAGTATAGACTTGATAGAGCTGTAGCACTGACCATCATACCAACATGCTTCAATATAGACTTGATAGAGCTGTAGCACTAAGACCGTCATTCCAACATGCTTCAGTATAGACTTGATAGAGCTGTAGCACTAAGACCAACATGCTGCAGTATAGACTTGACAGAGCTGTTGCACTAAGACAGTAATACCAACATGCTTCAGTATAGACTTGATAGAGCTGTAGCACTGACCATCATACCAACATGCTTCAATATAGACTTGATAGAGCTGTTGCACTGACCATCATACCAACATGCTTCAATATAGACTTTATAGAGCTGTAGCACTAAGACAGTCATACCAACATGCTTCAGTATAGACTTGATAGAGCTGTAGCACTAAGACCGTAATACCAACATGCTTCAGTATAGACTGGATAGAGCTGTAGCACTGACCATGCTGCAGTATAGACTTGATAGAGCTGTAGCACTGACCATCATACCAACATGCTTCAATATAAACTTGATAGAGCTGTAGCACTAAGACCAACATGCTTCTATATAGACTGGATAGAGCTGTAGCACTGAACATCATTCCAACATGCTTCAATATAAACTTGATAGAGCTGTAGCACTAAGACCATCATACCAACATGCTTCAGTATAGACTTGATAGAGCTGTAGCACTAAGACGAACATGCTTCAATATAAACTTGATAGAGCTGTAGCACTAAGACCATCATACCAACATGCTTCAGTATAGACTTGATAGAGCTGTAGCACTAAGACCATCATACCAACATGCTTCAGTATAGACTTGATAGAGCTGTAGCACTGACCATCATACCAACATGCTTCAATATAGACTTGATAGAGCTGTAGCACTAAGACCATCATACCAACATACTTCAGTATAGACTTGATAGAGCTGTAGCACTGAACATCATTCCAACATGCTTCAATATAAACTTGATAGAGCTGTAGCACTAAGACCATCATACCAACATGCTTCAATATAAACTTGATAGAGCTGTAGCACTGACCATCATACCAACATGCTTCAATATAGACTTGATAGAGCTGTAGCACTAAGACCGTCATACCAACATGCTTCAGTTTAGACTTGATAGAGCTGTAGCACTAAGACCATCATACCAACATGCTTCAGTATAGACTTGATAGAGCTGTAGCACTGAACATCATTCCAACATGCTTCAATATGAACTTGATAGAGCTGTAGCACTGAACATCATTCCAACATGCTTCAATATGAACTTGATAGAGCTGTAGCACTAAGACCATCATACCAACATGCTTCAGTATAGACTTGATAGAGCTGTAGCACTAAGACCATCATACCAACATGCTTCAGTATAGACTTGATAGAGCTGTAGCACTAAGACCATCATACCAACATGCTTCAGTATAGACTTGATAGAGCTGTAGCACTGAACATCATTCCAACATGCTTCAATATGAACTTGATAGAGCTGTAGCACTGAACATCATTCCAACATGCTTCAATATGAACTTGATAGAGCTGTAGCACTAAGACCATCATACCAACATGCTTCAGTATAGACTTGATAGAGCTGTAGCACTAAGACCATCATACCAACATGCTTCAGTATAGACTTGATAGAGCTGTAGCACTAAGACCATCATACCAACATGCTTCAGTATAGACTTGATAGAGCTGTAGCACTGAACATCATTCCAACATGCTTCAATATGAACTTGATAGAGCTGTAGCACTAAGACCATCATACCAACATGCTTCAGTATAGACTTGATAGAGCTGTAGCACTAAGACGAACATGCTTCTATATAGACTGGATAGAGCTGTAGCACTAAGACCATCATACCAACATGCTTCAGTATAGACTTGATAGAGCTGTAGCACTAAGACCATCATACCAACATGCTTCAATATAAACTTGATAGAACTGTAGCACTAAGACCATCATACCAACATGCTTCAGTATAGACTTGATAGAGCTGTAGCACTAAGACCATCATACCAACATGCTTCAGTATAGACTTGATAGAGCTGTAGCACTAAGACCATCACACTTCGAACTAGACTTAGTACAGCTACTTTGTACAATGCCATGTCCTACTTGCAGGTGAGTGTCAGCCTGCTACAGGAGCAAGAGAAGAAGCTGGTGACTGTGCAGGAGAATCTTGCACCATCTCACCTACGGCTCTCGGACGCTGATGTGGCCTTCACCAACACAGGTGAGATCATCATTGCAACCAGTGATGGTCTGATGTCCTCTGCCATACAGTGCTTCACCGTCTCTGTGAAGATGCTGCAGATGTCCCACGAGATCACGTGTTGTGCTGGAGCTAGTCTCTACATGAAGAGCCAGATGGAGTATGGCAACAAGGACAGCCAGACCATGAGGATCACCCATCTCATGTTCATGAACCAGGAGAGCAGCGACACACTGCTCATCGGCTGCGGTAGTCATGGCTACAGTAGCATAGAGGTGTGGCAGCTTGTAGAACAAACCATGTCACTTCATCGGATGTTCCAGAGCACTGCCAATCCTGACTATGCATACAAGACCCCAAAGTGGATGCACAAGGCCACCATCCAGCACAGCTCCATGATCTCCAGTATAGCATGTCCACAGATCAGTGTCAGCAGGACTATAAACGATGCTGCTGGCTTTGTCTCCTACTTCGCTGCAGCCTACAGAGATGGATCTGTAAAGATCCTTCATCGCCAGAGTTTCCAAGTTATAACCACATGTTCCTGGGAGATGTTGATAGGAATACACTATCCTGGCCTCCCTGGAGAGAAGTTACCACGGCCTGCGTCGTACATGTCCACAATCCAACAGACACCATCTGGGTGTGGGCTAATTGGGTTCTGTGGTGACAAGACTTACATGTTCCAGGTGTTCAACATCCGGGACGGCCCCATACAGTTGATGGCGCCAGTCATCATACACCTGCTTGAGTATGTCATGTATGTCGGCCATGACTGGTGGGATATCCTCATGATCATAGGCCAAGGTAAGAACACTCTCTCTAGGATCGATTTGCTGATGAATATATTCTATTCTGAACCTCTCAGTACAAATTTTAGAACTTCGTACACAACTTCTTGGTTAATTTCCAGCACAAAGCAAGAAAGCGTTTTCCATCATGCATATGTCCTATGTTCACCGTGACCCAGGTCACCAGTACCCCCATGCTTGTCAATAAGTGGCCAACGTAGGTATGAGATAGTGGTCATAATGATGGATGAGAATGAATAGTTCTTTGAAGAATGCTGCCATGGGAGACCAAGTGTCAGCAGGAATGTGGTTCCTACCTCACTCGGTGAACCACTGGTTTGTTTGGGTTGGACGACAAACATGCAACTGAAGTGCTGTGATGCAGACATTATTTGTAAATTGAGTCTAGGAAAAACATTTGTTTTAGGCACTCCTGATACATATTTTGTTATTTCTATCATTGGATAGTTTCAATACAGAAACACATGAGGGTAATAATCTCTAGCACATGATGTTTTTCTTCAAATTTTAGTCTGTATTTCTCTCACTGAAGTAACTTGTGAAACTGCATATAAATACAATGATGGAGTTTGTTAACGTCCACATTTATCATCGTGTTTTACAGAAACACATCGTGAAGCCATTGACTACCAATTATGTGATAAATAGCCATTGAAATAACCTTAAATTCCCATCCTCACTGACTGCCTCCATGTTGTGCAGGGCTGATAGAGAGGATCTGTCAGCGGCTGATGGACACATTTCAGAAGCAGCCCATCTCCCTCCAAGAGCTGCTGAGGATGAGGCTGATCCGGCTTCGAATAGGTCTCTACAGCTGTCTGCCTGCCGGACACCAGAAGGCCTCTGACTGCCACGCCCTCCTTTCTCTCTTTGCCATTGCTTCCGTCCTCAAGGGGATTCTCAGGCCAAAGTCTGTATCTCCACAGGATAAGGTTAGTGGTTTGTTTAGGCTAGACAAACTGATCCACTTGTTTTTCGTATGCTTATTTGTACAACATGCTTAATATGTGTAACCCCCCAATATACAGTAGGACCCTTTCGACATGCTAGCATTTGGTGCAATCACCAACCTGCAGCCAATTTCCGTTGCCATTGCCATTGCCTGTCGGTAAATTTTTCATCTCAGTTCTATTAAGCATGTTAAGCATGGTCAGGTCACAATGTAGCTCTTGACCTCTGAATTAGTAACCAGACATGCAGATTAGCTACTGGATATATGGAATATTGACCTGGTGTTGGGGTTAACATGGAATGTGCAATAGTGACCTGGTGTTGGGGTTAACTTGAAATGTGCAATAGTGACCTGGTGTTAGGGTAAACTTGAAATGTGCAATAGTGACCTGGTGTTGGGGTTAACTTGAAATGTGCAATAGTGACCTGGTTTTGGGGTTACTTGAAATGTGCAATAGTGACCTGTTGTTGGGGTTAACATGAAATGTGGATAAGAAACATGATACTAATCCGACATTTAAATGTCCCAACTGACATGGCCTCTGTTTCCACCAGTCCCCAGCCGAGAAGTTGTCTGCAGTGTGTAGCAAGCACAGTGACCTGGAGCTGGACTCTGTGTTGACCAACCTGGACACAGATGAGTTTATTGTGGAGCCTGCCAGGAAAGACAAGCTCAACACTCAGTCTGAATGTAAGTGTGGTAGAACTATGGAGCATTTCTTCTTGTCTGTGAAACACCTTCAGAATATGACATTTCTATCGTAGTGTCAGTCGACTGCTGATTCCAAGCACTGTTCCATCCCAAACCTCGGCTTACATCATTATGCTATTTTATTATGTGATTTTTCTACACAGAAACTGGTGGCATATACAGAAGGGCAATTCTGTTGAGATATGTGTTATGTGTCTTCCAGCCTTGGGTGTCCCTTCATGGTTTCATTTCACATCTTTGGTGATGGCCAGAAATACAGATTAGGTTTAAGTACCGGTAATATTTTACTTTAAACATCTGTTGTTTTGCTGATGAAGTGTTAGATCAGTGGAACTGTGTCCTGTGTTTGTATAGCTAGGGGTGTCTTTACTATTGACATAGTATCGCGATAGTTCCTCTGCCATCCTTGCTTTGGTCAATGTATTTTTATGAAATTATTGTTAACTACTGATATTTGAACCCATTCTTGCTGTATTGCCATTGGGCTAAGCATCAATAGTCCTTCAATCACTACACCTCTATGTTATTGATCTATTTCACTGACCTGTGTGTTGTTACAGACTCGCTGCAGCCACTCCAGCCATTCATCCAGTGGGTGGCGGACTTCGCGCTGCACCTGCTGTCCTCCGCCCCCCTCTACCAGTCCTACTCCTCCTTCCTCGGCTCCTCACTGCTCCGCGATGTGTCTGTGCTCCACACGCTCCGTGAGCTCATTGTCATCATCCGTGTGTGGGGGGTAATCAACCCTGGCTGCCTCCCCACCTTCACTAACATGACGCACATAGATTGCGTCTCCCACATCTATAAGCTGCTCACCAAACTCTGGCTCTCTATCCGTGACGGTAATAGTTTTGAGTATGATGATTCGCTGATGGATGAATGCTGCCACCTGCCAAGCAAAGTCATCATCCCCAACATGAAGCAAAGCTTTGGGGAAGAGAACTATAGTTTTGCTATCTTCAGTCAACAATTTCCACTGAGTTTCTTTGTGGGTCATGAGCCAGACTATTTGTACAACTTAAAACAGTCAAGACTGTACACAACTGATGTTGCCATGGAGACCAGACAGCATCATGACGCTGTGCGACACATACATCTGGGTGCGAATCCTTCAGGTAAAGTGAGGGAATGTTGTCGGTGCAGTGCTATGTCGTTAGTTCACAGTACAGCTAAATCACTGATACTCAAGTCATGGGAGCAGAGGTTTGTCAAGATGTGTGTATGTGGTGGGCACTGGAAAATGAAGTCTACTTCTTGACAGCAATTTCTGTGACACAAAGGGAAGTAACTCTATTGACAGACTCTTGTCAGAAGATTAAAGGAGATAATGAGTTTGTAAATTGTTGATACAGAATAAATGATATATCACTGACCCATATTGAACGTCCATTGTTGTCAATTCAAGTAAGTCTGGGGTGGTGTTCAGTGGAATGCATAACACATGGTGGGCACTTGGTTATTGAGTTGGGCACTTGGTTATTGAGTTGGGCACTTGGTTATTGAGTTGGGCACCTGTTACCAGCTAGCAGAAAATAAAGGCATATAGACTACTATCTTCAATAATGAAACTTGAAGGGATGTCTGTTTACATCTGTAGCTTGAAACTGAAGACATCCGTCACTGTGGTTACAAGACCATGGTCTAGTTTTATAGATTCAGATGATCTTTTCCACTTATGATATTTTGAGGGTATCGCCTCTCAGTCTCAGACATGCAATGATTTGATACTAGACGTTGGTTTTGTGTAGAAGTAATGCTGGAAACATCTGTCTAGGGTCTGTTAGAAACTTACTTATCTACCCTTGATTTGCATGCGCTAAGCAGCAGATTTTTAGGCGATCATAACGTCTGGCTCGTACACGCTCAAGTCGCTTGCAACAATTGCCTATTGTCACTGTAAGAGCACAGATAAGTGTGTTGATTCAAGCATTGTTTTTGCTTACCGAGGTTTCTACATGTCATCTTCTGATCTTTAATGTTTAGCTTGTTTTACAAATACTGTCTTTTAACTCATGTACACAAATACAGATTTATGTGAAATGGAACATGTTTCAACGTTGCCAAAGCATTTATCATATGCAGTCAATGGCTTCTCTGTTGTATTTCAATAGTTTCTTACAGTTTCCTTTTTTCCAGTGATTGATGTATGAAGAATTTTGGTTTGTTGCCAGCAGAAAATTTGTCAGGATGGTCATAATATTGTTATTTTTGTCCATTAATCCAAACTTTTGTAAACATATGAGCATGTATGTATATTAACTCAACACAGGTAATGTAATGAAGGGACCCTGAAAAGTCCATGTAAAGAACACAGTGGTTGTTATTCATAAACAAGTGTCACATTTTTTCATCATCTGTCATGTTTCGTTTCAGTTATACACTCCAGAAGTGGAGTGTTGCCTGGGGAGATTTTTCCTTAGAGGTTTCTAATAGACCCTACTGTTATTTAAAAGTCTGTTCTAAATTTTATTACACTTTTGACTAAAATATTGCACCAAGGCTCTTTAGCTCTCCTGAATTAAGAAGAAAAAATGGCAGCCATGTTTAAAGTCAGATTTGAAATTGTGTAAACACATTTTCACTGACACCGTAGCTCCAGTGGCCTTGCAGTTTCAAAGATGTCGATAATGTAAAAGCAAACGACAGATGGATGGCACAACCGGGCAACAGACATCATGTCATGACATAACATCACTTGACTGTCAGTCAGATGAGCCAAAAATGGTAAGTTATGGCCATAAATAGCATACTAAAGGGCGAGCAAAGTCAACAAAGCAACTTGACAGATTTTAATAATTTAGGGCATATTTAATCACAAATGCGTGACCAAAAATAAATTTGAAAAATGGAAATAGCATCAAACAGACTATAAAAGACGACCAGAAAAATCGTCCCTCAAACAAAAAAGTCCGCCACTGAGATTGGGGTTAAAACAGGATCCTCTGCCTGCTTCCACCTCGGAATTTTTAATGAATTGCATCTTTTTTTTTCCGTTCTGCTCATCCATTTGATTACTGCGCCCACAACTTACGTCACTTTATAACTTATTAGTTTTAATAAACTTTATGGGGTTTGTGTCTGTTTGTAATTTGTGTGGCTATTACAACTGTGTAGATAATTCCCATGTCTGGTAACTGTCTACTGGTTTTCTCTGGTTGGCCTGAATATGTAACAACAACAAAACAGGGTAGTTGTAAACACATCTTTATGGAATTTTAAAGCACTTCAATGTAATAACAATTCAGCAACAATAAGAAAATTAAAATAGATAGGGAATATAGAGAGCTTTATCTATAAGAGTACAAAATACTAGTCCATACAGTCAGTGGCGACCAGCATCTCCAGACACTTGTAAGATCTGACTGACTGGCCAGCCAGTACTCCATAACACTCCAAACTAGTCCTTCAATTGGACAGAAATAGGTGTATATGACATTACATCTAAAAACATGTACAAAAATAAAAATTATTTTAAAAGATAGTATGTTTACTTGAAAAAATCATGTTGACTATCATGCTAATAAACCCTGTTGATAAGACCCCAAAAGCATATTATTCATTTCAGTCATTCTGGATGCAAAGTTTCACAACAAAATAGTATTCTTGGCATCAATAGTGTATGAACAGCAAAAAAAGTACCATCATCTGATAAATACTGATAAGAGTTTTACTGTTGTTTTATTAACAGTTTAGATGTCTTAAGGGTGAAACAGTTGCAAACTCTGAGGTATTTTCACTGTCAAACAGTTCACAGAATGTCCACATTCTCTACAGACGAAATGTTTGTTGTTCACAGCTCTTTTAATACATCTTGTATCTAACCTCCCTTGTACAGCTTGATGAATGAAGTCTGCCTGTACCATGTCCCCAGCCAGCAGGTGGACCAGCCACATTGTTCTTTGTTCCTGGCTTATCGGCAAGGCACGTTGTAAAGTGGGTCAGCATAACATAGCTGGCACTGCAGAGACTAATATTTATAGAACAGTACTTCTTTCTCAGTCCTTGTCGGTACGTATATTTAAATAATACCGTTCACTCGAACATATGACATTGAGAGCATGTAGACAGCAGCTCCGTAAGGTAACATGCGGTGGGCACCCCTAAAGAAAATTAAGCAAGCCTAACAAAGGTTTCGTTCTATACTGCACGTCACTATGATGTCATATCGCTCGCTCATTGGGATGCCAAAGATATGTCGGTCGTATGTAGAAAAGCGCTTAATTTTGTTTAAAAGCTGTTGTCTCTGTTTGGTTCGCAAATTTAATTTAGAGTGGTCAAATCTAAAGGTAACAAAGCTGCATTGAAAACAGTATGATTATCTCCTAAATAGCCTTCCCAAATCCCAGTGTAAGGCACAAGTGTATGACAAGATGGGAATGTAGCGTGGGTGAAGTATTTACATATTTTACATATCTACAAGACATCAACACTATGTCCAAGATGAAAATGATTTGTGTAGAAGGTTGTTAGTGTAATAGTATACATAATTTCTATACATATAGACTTGTAAATATTAGACTTGTCAGGAGAGCAGGTACATATCACAGGATAAGTAGAAAACTGGCACTGTTATGCCCGATACTGCAGGAATATCTTGAAGAGCCCTGGCTGCTGCTCCATGTATCTGAAATGTGTAAAAGGTGTGTCAGTTCTTCCAGTTGATGCAACCATCACACGAACAGCAGGTGAGAGGTACCGACTGCTGGTAACACAAGGACAGACAACACAATAATCCAATAAGGTTTTCAGAGTATAGTTTTACTCTTGTGGATCCGTTTGAGGTACTCTACTCCATCATAGATACAACATCTCTACTTGGAGGAAGCAACAAGCAAAATTATGCAATGGCAAGGTAGCTCACCTGAACATGTAGTCAAACATGTCCGTAAGACAGCCATGTGACATAGGTTGATGTTATCATTGATATTCCAATAGTTTCTGCATGAATACTGAGGTCAAAAAGGTATGAGTGAGTGATAATGGTTTTACACTAGTATTAGCAATATTCCAGCAACATCACGACGGTGGACACCAGAAAGGTCATAAACATAAAATCTTAAAGCTTCTTGCACAAAGTTTCAACTCTGACCCATATGCCTTCTGATGACTTCCATTTTTCTTTTTTCTTTTTCATATAATAAAAAAGCAAGAACATTTCATAAAAAAGATAAGCACCAAAAAGGTGACAAACATCCAAAGTATCAGAATATTTTGGTCAGATGTATCTGAGAAACAGCAAAGTGTCAGCCATTACAGCAGCCTCATCACAGCATGTTTCCTTGTGACCTTCACCTTTCACTAATTTTGACCAAAACCTTTTAATAGCAGAGCCCCACTCTAAAGAAGTGATATCCTCTGTTTGGTGAAGTTTTTATAACACTCGCCTGATAGTTTCTGGAATATTTGCAACATTAGGTTAAAGGGTCATAATAATTGAGAAAACATCATTACGCAAACATTAAACAGCTGTTCATACAATAAAACAGCAAGAACAATTCATTATGATAACATTAACCTCTGGTGCAGATGAGCTACAAGGAGAAATACTCTGGACAGATGGCCACACACCAGAAGGACAACATGCCACACTACAGACTCACTTGGACTGTTGTGGCTATGACCTGTCTGTCCTAGTATCCTAGCTTCCATCAGGTTATTAACAAGAAGTACCTAAGTCCAGGTGATTTTCAGTTGATGATCCATGTAAATATTGAATCATTCTAGATCTTTTGGCAACAGACTTTCTTCAGTTCATTGTCCATGTTTCATTAATGTAAATTTTTTCAAAATAACCTTGCCTCGAACAGCAGGGTCTGACTCCAACTTGTCCACGTTTACTGACCAACTGTTTATGTAACTTCACTACATTCTGGTAAACTACTTAGAATACTACTGGTCTCAGAATAGCAGACTACTGCAAGAAATAAGCTGTAATTTGTTACTTGCATCATTAAATGAGTGGGGTAAATAGCAATACCTGCAGCGGTCAACGATCAACTGGGTCAACAGAAGACCTGCTTCAGTATTTCTTTATGAAATATAGACAGAATCTGTACAAGGAATGTGACACCTCACAATGCTAAATTCATCAGTTGGTGGAGCTCTCTTCACTGAATGCACGACAAGGATGCAGTTGCTTTTCTCACCTATAGTTCATATTGTTGAGATGGCTGATGATCGCTGGCCTGAGTTTTGCCACGCCCCCACGACTGTGCCTGCCTCTTCCAGTGATGACAAACAAGGACTGTTTCCTCCGGTAAGGTCGTGCTTGCAGGTCTGTTGGGTATTATATACATGTATACATTATTATCTTTTAAAAACCACAAGGAAATACTAGTACTCACATTTCCAACCATTAAACCTTGCTTTATTCAGATTATTTCAATTATCATGTTTTTGGAGTGGTGTATTCTGTGTGTGTTTAAGCCAAAAAGAAATAATAGTCTCGGTTCCCAGGCACCACTCACATCATCATAAAGTCAGTCTCACATTTTGTTTTTATTTCCATTCTCCCAGTCCAAAAAGTTCTTTAAAATTCTGCGTCTTGAACACACAACCCCCTGCAGTGAAATGCTACAATATTTAAACAAGAGGCCCATAGAGCCTGTATCGCTCACCTGGATATTTACACAATCATGACAAAATATACATGTGCATTGTACATGTATATAATACTGGAAATATTTCGTAATTTTGACTCTGTCAGCATTTAAAATAGGTGGATGGCAAATCTGACAGCATGAATGTGTATTTCTCTAGATACAAATGTAGCATAAAGATCTGAACTGTTTCCATGTTATGATCCAAGATCTAAGTTCCCAGAGGCAAGGCTGGATCCCAGGGCATAAATGTATTATCTCTTCATAACAAACAAATGTATACAATGTATCTGTTTATCATAGGGTGGGGATAATATCGGTTTACATGGTATGGTCAAGGTTCTAACTCCTTTGGGAGTGCCGGACAGATGAACAGAAGGGCCAGTCCTGGTGGCATATGTGCATTCCTCTCCTTGTACTCTCAATGTTTGTACATATGGTTATACGTTGGGGATCTTAACTGCGTCCACCTAGGGATGCTTCCAACCAAATATGGTTAATATCTATATCTTAGTTCCAGAGAAGAAGTCTTTTAAAGCAATATAGCCAAATTACCCCTATTTGGCCCTGCCCCTAAGCCCCTGGGGGGTCAGCCCCACCATTTGTACAATTTTGAATCCCCACCACCTAGGGATGCTTCCAGTCAAATTCCGTTAATTTCCTATTAGTGGTTCAGAAGAAGAAGTTGTTTGAATGAATTGTTGACGTACAGACGACGGACAGACAGACGATGGACGCCACGGTATGGTATTAGCTCACATTGGTCCTTCAGACCCAGTGAGCTAAAAACAATGCGATCCAAAATAGCACACAGTTACTTCCCTTTACATGCACACTGCTTTACTGCACATCTCATGTTATGGTCATGGCAGCAATAGCAGTTTGTGTGCTTGTTTTGCCGTTTGCAAATTTGGTCAATGAAAACATGTAATTTACGATGAAACATCACTGGACATGATGATTTACAAATTTAATGGTATTTGTGTACGGTATGCTGGATAATATTTCAAACGCAGAGATTAAGCTTACATGTGTATTTGTCTTGTAAAATAAGCCGGAAATGGCTATCAGCTATTCACTCATTTTCTCCCGTCTATAGGTAAAAGATTTAGTGTTAAAAATATTTAATGTCATGGCCAATATCATTACTGAAAAGAAATTTCAATACAGTGCTAGGAAGACTGAAGACTATACATCTCTAACGACTTATGTTCGTTTGAAGGCGAGTTCATGGTGAGTTGATGGGATTTGCCGATCAGATCATACACGATTCCGACGTAATTAATGTAAACAAAATTGAATGAAATCTTGGATAAAAGTAATATAATGGACTACAAACAGAAGTCCAGATACAAAATAGATATATCCAGATAGTGTAATAATAGGAGTAACTTGCGTACTTCAGTACGGATGTGTTGACATGCTTCTGGTGTTGTGTGCTCACAATAACATCTTCGCGTTGTGAAATAAAATCAAAGCTCATTGTATGCATGTATTGTGCAATTACTGGTAGTCCAATGGTAGTCAAATACTGTATTCCAGTATTTTACTCATCAAGGAATATATTCATGTAGGGAGGCCCTTTCCCAGGTTGATTGTACGCAAAAGTTTTGTTACATAACAGTTTGAACAACAACAAAAAACAAAAACATTGCCCGCCCACCTGCCCGCACTATATTTTCAAAAGCCATTGCTTGAGAACCAATTCTTTGACTTTTTAAGCCTAACTCAGCAATATAACAGCTCGATGACAGTGATCTGTACCTCATCGCGTCTGAACCAGACAATACGGTAACAAAGTAAGACGAGTTCTATGGATGAACAACTTCTTTATTACAATTGGTGCGACGTTTCGGTGTAGATCCTAACACCTTTATCAAGCAAGTGATGGATAGGGCTAAACAACATAGTTATATATACACTTATTGACATCTAGGTTGTTACAGTGACTAGTTGATGGGCACAGAGAGGTGATTAAGCTAATTGGAAGCCAGTGGATGACTGATGAACACAGAGTATACTAGCAGAGTAAACAAGCTAACTGATGGAGATGATGGAAGCCACTGTATTAATTGGATGGACAAAGGGATTGAGCAATTAGGTGATGGTAAGCAGGCGGGATGTAATAGCCTTGGTCTGGATACCTCTGGCTATAAACTTACGCAGAGGTGGAGAATATTAAATTTCCTATATGATGGTGCAAATATTTAACCGGTTTTAAAAAAATACACTTCTAAGTGTTGTCCGAGAATTTATTCTGCGTTGAAAAACAGTAAATTTCTCCGCTTTTTATCGAACACTGATAAAAGTACTGTGCGACGATTTTTTTTATTTCGAAGCTTTACGGAAACTGTCAGCGGACAAAATACTGCCTAATATCTGAATGACATAACTATATATCAAATGGAGTTATATGCGTATGTATAACGACATACATTCAATGCCAAAAATAGCATGCCGTAAATGACGAAAACTGATTTTTCTCTGACGTCAAAAGGCAACCAAGAGGTTACACGCGTACAAAGAAAAGGGGGCATAACTCTGCTATGCTTATCACTAGTTTATTGTAACTCAGGTCACTTTGTGAGAATTAGCTGTGGGTAAGGACAATATATTTTCGTGGTGTTTCGGTCACGAGGAACCAAACTATTCCAACACAAATATCGATATTGAAACTGTATACGTTTAGTTATTAAAAAAACCCCATAAGAAATGATGAAATCGTAATGAAATCATAAAAAAGAGGTTATAGAGAAATGAATGGCCCTATCTAACCTATAACTTAGTCCTTAGATTCTCCTGATTGTGTAAGTGTAATTTGACTAATGTTGCACCATTATTAATGGAGCACTAGCCTTATCATCAAATGTAATGAAATACCCCAAAAATAACACCATTCCTTTTGACGTCATGGCTGGTTTTATGTCTTTGATAATGTCGGAGAAAGACGACACTGGTATTTTGATTAATATATATCTCCCATATCCTTCGTTCATGGTTTGGAAAATCTCGATGTGTAAAACAGAATTTGACGCTTTTTCGACACAACATAAAATTACTGCTTTCACCAAGTAAATAATGTCTTGAATATGTAAACAATTAGATAGTTTATTGTGTATCTTAATTGGACAAGACACGCACCTGTTTGGCATCAATTTACATTATGAAATACCCAAATGAATATTTCAAAACAACCAAAATTATATTCAATATTGGACATATATTTGTTCATTATTATGTTATTATTTCTCTTCATCTCGTCTCAGAATTACACAATAAAAGATGCGAAGAAAGCACTTTTGGTATAGAATTATCAGGATAATCGTATAAGGTTGAACCAACGGGGTACCTGGCATGGGTTTTATTTTATACATTTTACAATTCCTGGAGAAATTAAGTAAACAGTTTAATATCCCATGATCACAATATTGAAAAAAGAATGAACCCATTGATTATATAATGCAAAACGAGATGAATAATTCGTAAATTGTGTGTGACTAACGCGCACCTAGTGAATCATTAGATATCACTGTTCTGTGTATCAAACGACATCAAAAACAGTTCCGAGACAAAGACAATTCTTTCAGAAATGTGTGCATATATTTTACCGAAAACATATTATCCATTTTGTGAAAGTAATTTATTCAGTTTTAGTTATAAAATAAAATGAAATGGCTATTCATGGACATTGCTAATATGAACTTATAATATTGACTATTGCACATCCCAAGAAATACTGCAGTTACATTTACATTTCATCTTGTAACACTTGACCAAAGGAAAGAAATATCATATTCGACACTAAAAACCTATCAATTGTTATGTAAACAATGTTCAAACAAACAGGAGATTATCAAAGGTTCGTTCATACATGTTGTGGCCGATATTTACGTATGATATCGTTTTGAACATTGACAAATGTCCAAAGTGAAATTAATTGTGTGAAAAAATGTATAAAAGATATGCAAAATCTGCATCATAACTGAAACTGTAAACAGCATGGTACAATGATCGTGTGCACTCTCATTCAAGGACCTTCACCTCAAAGAAATTACCAAATAACAATTTAGTAAAATCTAAATATTTTTTACATTTGTATACTTATCCTGCATTACTCCGTATTGCATTTACTGTTGTCTTTGACAGAGAGACGAACTGTGTGAGATCCAGCTGCTGAAGAAAGTTGTCCCAACCAGCTCAGCTCCTTACCGAAGAGCGAGAGCGAAAGCGAAACGCAGTAGAGCCCTCTAATCTGAGGCGATAAACACCAGAGAGTTCGACGGGCCCCGCTCGGGGAATTGAAGAATCAGCGGCGTCTGCGGCAAAATCTACGACCAATCCCAAGAGCGAATGCGAAACGCAGGAGAGCCCTTTGGGCTGGAGGCAAGGAACACCGGTGAGGTCGACGGGCACCGCTCAGGTATCAGAGAAGCAGCGGCGTTGGCGTCGGTGCCGGTGTCCACATCTACTACCATTCCTGTCGTCAGGAAACGAGAGTTGATGCAAAAAGTAAAACCCGGATAGGTGACAGCAATAGAATGAGTCGGGTAACCCAAAACTAAAACTGACCTAAGAGCGAATGCGGAACGCAAGAGAGCCGTCTCGTCTGGGGTGATAAACACCAGAGAGGTCGACGGGCCCCGCTCAGGGTATCGGAGAATCAGTGGCGTCGGAGAT